CAAAATGCTGATGATACACTTTTTTATCATAGTGACACTACTTTTCTAAATGTTTTCATTAAATTTAAAAGAATTGTTATATGCAATTAAAACAGAGTCTAATAATCAAGGGGTCAAGACCAAAAAAATTAAACTTAAAATAATACCTTGCATGGACTGAAACAGCTTCAAAATGTATTAAAGCATTAATCGATGGAATCAAATCTACTAGAGCAGGCTTTATTCTAGGTTATTAATAATATTTGTGAGATGAGCTAGCTCGGCTTATGTTATTACATAAGCAAATTACTCAAGGTTTAACAATAGAGTATAAATATAAAACTAAATTTTGCAGTTTTCACATGTCTATTAAATTATGAACTTTTCTAAGAATTGAATTCTTTATATAATCTTAAAAAAAAGATAGGTAGCAGGTATTTAAAATTCACTGTAAACAAATTTTAATATAAAGATTATTAAAAAAAGAGTTGATCTTATCAAAATAAATATTAACTTTCTCAAACCAAGTTTCTTAATCGTTATTTAATGATTATTTAAGATCATTCTACAAGAATATCTGATTACTTTTTACAGAGAGCTATAGATATTAATAAACACTTCTGATTTTGGTTATTGGGAATATAATTCTAATTATGGGCCAAAATGATTATTTTATGTATCTTTAATTATTCCAATACTATTGTAATTTAGTCAATAATATGGAGTAAACAGAAGAAGAAAAGTAAGAAATAATGGCTTAGATAGATGAGGTTTGATTTTTTTAGATGTTTTTTCTTCTGTATTAACTTTCTATTAGATTTACAAATACATCGATAGCATTTATATAGTTAATTACTGTAATGCCTAAGAAAATTTATCTATTGGAGTGTTTTCTATTAAAAATAAAATATATTTTCTATTTGATTTGGCAAAATAAAATTCTAAGCCTATCACTAATTTCATTTGATTTTGATTACTAAATGCTTTTAAAAATACTTTCAGTGATAATGATTTACAATAATGATAAAATATGATATGAAAATTATAATTTAAGATTTGGTTAACCTCCAATGTTATTAGCCTCAATAAGAAAGTTAGGAGTATATTATGTCATCAGCTGTTTATATTAAAACTTTCTATAATAATCTCGATTTACAAAACCTTGGCACCTATGTTTTAAATATTAAATAGGTTAATTTATCCTATCTATTTGTTTTTAAATCTTGAAATATAACTAATAATTCAAATTATTTTCCTTTACTTGATAACTCAATAATTTTTATATAAATCCTAGATTTTCACTAACTTGAATTTGCACTTATTATATCGGGTTGAATCATATTTCCTACTCCTTAAATTTCTTAAAGGCTTTAATTTTACATATTCAAAAGATTCTGAGTGATAACAGATGAATTATTGTATAAAATTGATTTTTAAAGAATAAAATATTTATTGAAGATTATACTTCAATAATCTCAAAAAATATACATTAAATAATTATCCGATATAACAAATACGTCTACTGAAAGCGTAAGAAAATTATTATTATATCTATTTATATTTCATAAGAAAAATAACAAGCTTAAGGATACTCTTTTCAATTTTTAAATAAAAATAAGCTAATTTGTAATATAAATATTATTTCATATCAGCTTAAAATTGACAAAATTTCAGAAGAATTTAAATTTGGGTTGTTCAATATCTGGATAAAAATTTGAATGTATAGATTAATCAATTAATTAAAAAATATCTAAATCAAAATATCCTAAAAAAATTGTAATTATAATTAGATCTAGTCTTTTAATATAGATCTTATTTTAAAAAATTGAAATTAATAAAAATGAATATGATAGAAAATCAAATTATATTTTGTTAAAATCCATTCATCTTAATGAACAACGTTTTATAAACTAACTAGATCTATTCTAAATCCTTTTTTTGTTCTTGACCATAGATATTAATGAAAAAAGCATTAAAATAACTAGCTTCAAGTTATTAAACTTTATTGTTATGAGTGAGCAAGCATTTTAATGATCCCAGACCTATAAGCTATGAATAATCTTAAGGATAAAATTAAAAAAAATAATAATCTAAATAATCACCATAGCTCAAATTGTTATAGAGCAGGAAATTAAAAAATATGTATGAGGAGAGATAATAAGCTGGAATTAGGTTCAGTAAGTGTTGCCCTAATTATACTGAAATAGAATATATAAAGGTATTAGCCTGGCTTCGTTAACTTTATAATTCTGTGAAAGTTTATTCCTTTTCCAAAATTTAAGAAGTGATTTTAATAAACAGAGTTGAAAACTGTTTTCAATCCACCTGGAATTCTTGTCTCTTGCAACTTTGATAAAAATTTCAAATGAATTTTGATAAATATTTTTTTAACGTTTCAACTATTTAATATTTTATTCTTACATATTACACAGTCAAAATAATAGGTTTGTTAACCTCTACTCTAATGACCAAAAATATAAACTAATATATTCAAATAACCATATAAAACAAAAAAATATATTCTATTTCAATATTAATAATCAATCAGCATATTTTATCACGTCTATTTCTCTAAAGTCTAAGTGATTTTCATCTGTATTTTTTCTAAATCCAGGTACCAACTTTTTAACCACGTTTAAACTCTCCTTCGTAAATAATTTAAAATGCATCTGTAAAAGGATCGTGCAATTCTATCCATTTACCAATCTTAATCATATCACCTTATTCATCATATGATCCACCGCCACTAAATTAGTTATACATAATAGTTTAATACATCCTCTCTGCTTCATACTATATCTCCCATAAACCTAATTTCTTGCCATTCTTATATTCCCCTAAATAAGTGATTTAGGAAATTAATATCATAATTAAAGTAATAATTTAATGTTTCTGGTCAATAAAACTTAAATTCATATAAGTCTAAGAAATCATTCCAAATGTTCAAAATGATAGAACAGTATTTTATTTTATTCTTTAAGGAAAATTATATGGAATATAGCATAAATTAGAAATAAATACAAAAAAAATTTTGTTATTTGTCATTTTTTATTCTTTTTTAATCTGGGAAATACAACATGAATATTTCCTTTTAAATCACCATAACTTAGGTGTATTTTCTCAAATTATGTAATTTATGATGTTCTAAAATAGAGCTAAGTAAATGTATAAAATAGCCTTCCGACTTTAGGAAGGAAATGAAAATCAAAAACTCATAAAATTAAAGACCATTAAAAGAAAAAGACCAATCTATTAATTATTATAGATTTTTTTCATTTTCGATAAGGGTATCAAATAAAATCCTAAATAGAATAATTTAATACTAGATGTAAAGATCTAGTTGATCTTATAAGCATATTTTATTGCCCTAATTGGTGTCTCAATACTTATTAATTATTGCAATTAAATATATAAATCATTAATACAATTTTTAGATAGATATAGATGTATGTTAGGGAAGATATTTTTGGCTGATATTAGATAAATTTACTTCTCTTTGTATGAGAATAGTTATCTAAAGGGATTTAAATTCATTTGTTTAATTGCTTCATTGATTTCGGAAAAAAATATATCAAAAAACATATATTTCATAGGATTTAACTGAATAGATGTCATGTGAATCTGATAAAAACCTATACGAAGGTATTAATTCAGCCAATCATTATATTCATTGAAAGATAATTAGAGACAAAAATTTCTAATATATCTAAGTCTTAGTTATTATTTATAAGATGTCTCAAAAATCTATACATATTGTTATCATTAACAATTTTTGAGGGTAATAAATATATTCTTTCTTTAAAAATTAAATTTTATTTTAGATATTTAAAATATATATATTAAGTTAGTTTATTTTGAAATTTAATATATATAAACAAAAATAATTACTAAATATTTAAATATTAATTTTAATAGAAATAGAAAATGTAGATTAGATGTACACAAGCTGAAAGCTGATCATTAAAATCAATAAATAATAGGCTTTTGTATAGATGGTGCATGTCCAAATTAAAAACTTTTTTGTCATCTTTGCTTGCCTAGCCATATTCAACATATTAGTAAGTTGACATCTGAAGAATTGTTATCTGGATGGATTAAGGAAAGAATTCTTGCGGCTCAAGATATTTAAAAGAATATTTAAGAATGTAAAATTGCCCTTGATCGTCTTATAAATTTATTTTTTCTTTATAATAACTTCAATATTTAATAATTAACAGAATTAGGATTATCAAAGATTGATTAATTAATAAAAGGTTTTAGTTAAATAGGAGATTGTGAAGAAAAATTATTTAAGCAACTCAAGCAATCAATCGAATAAACCAAATCCTTTGTTAATGAAATAATTAAAAAAATAAAGAATCAGCAAGTATATTTAATTTTTAATATAATGATTACTAAACTAAGGATAATCTCAACTAATTGAAAGAATTTAGAGTTCAAAAGTAAATTATTAGATTTAATTTGAGGTTTATCAGTTATTTTGAAATCCATATTTCTAATTCAATATGGTTGTTCATGAAGAGTTGTTTATAATTTATTTTAGGAGAAAAATTTGTTTATAAATAATTTTTTTTTTAGGGATATCTTGCGATTTATCATAGTGAATAAATAAAGGAATAAATTGGTGTACTCTAATTGATAATTTAAGAGATTTTAGAGAGAATGATTCTGTTGTAAATAAAGTTGATAAACCAAAAAAAAGATTGCAGAATAATTTTATAATAAAAAAGCAAAATGTCTAGTGTGTTAATTAGGAGAATTTTATGTTTTAAATTGTTGATTGGCTTGTTAATTCCAATATTAAACTAGTGTTCA